TGCAACTAATAGATCATATTGAATGTTTTTATGTAAACTTTGTATTGTTGGGAGAACCTACCCAATCAGAGATTTATATTTTCATAAATGTCAAATTTAGTTAAATTTTGTTACAGAGTTGTTAAACTAGAAATCTATTGCAGTCTTCAAACAAATATACAGTCTTGTGTATGCATTGTTTGTACTAATAAACTGTGGAAGCAGATACGTGTGTGTCCATTAATTTCATGGAAATTCCACACTAGCAGAGGGACATATGGTCTTCACAGCTTCCTTTGGCCTGTACATAAATAATGTTTAAGGACAATATCGATAAGGAAAAATTCCAGTATTTTATCCATTGCAGCTAACTAAATCAAGTGTTCGAAATACAATGAGATTTGCCATTAGATTTTACCATTCTTAGATAACATTTATGACTAGACTGCATACTGACAGTATGCAAATCAACAGACATGAAGGCTTTTGTCATCAACCCAGTAAAAGCACAAAAAAAGGGACCTGAAAACCCACTCTGATTCAGACCTGTGAAGCTATGGGAAGAGGCCCCACAGTTCCCAGGATCCTGTCCCAAAAGAGGCACCTTCCACCTTGTTTCAAATACAGTGTATGACTTGTGCATTTTGGCCCTGAACTCCCTGTCCATAACCAGTGTAATACTGGAAAGTTAGTTCTTTCATTATCTTGGAAGGCTAAAATACATCCTCTGTCAGCCAGGAGAATGGCTGATTTGTAATTACATTACATCCTGTGATGTAATCACAGAACCACAGAAGATTCTGAGTTGGAAGGGACCCTAAGCGATCATTAAGTCCAACTCCTAGCCTTGGATGGGACACCCCACAGAATCACACCTTGTGCCTAACCTATCTCATTCAGGTTACCAGCCTTCTGAATCTATTTCTCAGGGGCCAGACTCCTCACATTGAGCCTATACAGCAGACACAGGGTTCTGAATGGCTGCAGGCTGCTGATAACTTGCTACTGTGAGAGCGACTACTCCACAGCCCTTCACAAATCTGTCCCCAAGTATGTGTATCCAGTGGTACTGAGACAAAATTCTTCCTCCAGCAATGAGCCATTCAAATACCAAGTGCTGTTCTACCCCTACATAGAAATAGTGCAATTTACTTTTTGTTAATAAGCACTATTTGCATCTCTAGAAAAAAGCTTTAATTTATATTTTAGATAAAGTCATCTATAAACAAGCTCAGGTGGAGACTGTATTTTTTGACACAGAAGATTCTAGGAATAGGCTGTAGCTGCAAGAAAGCTTTAACAGGGAATTAACCGGAAATTCTTAGGCAGACAAAGGTAAGCCAGAGGTCAGCTAGAAAAAATATTTTTATCGGTCATTTCCTTTGCACCACAGCTGGGGAATGCATGGCCCGTGACTTCATTTCAAACGGCCTGTGGCCATTTGACTTTTTTTCACATTATTATCAGATAACATCAAAATGTGGGTTAACTTGTAGCCTGGAAAAGTTTGCATTCAGAAGGCATTCAGGTTTCAGTGGCTCCCCAGCCCAGATTTTTCCATGATGCACACTCAAGCCCTTTACCTGCAGAAACAAAAGTATTGGCAATTTTGCAATGAGAATTTAAAGCAAATATTGGTTGCTGGAATGGTGTTTGTATGCAGAGGGGACTGTTTCAGCTTAAAACTCTGAGAGTTTTCTCTCCGTCAAAAACTATGAATGTGTCTGTATAATACGTCATAAAATGGGTCCTCTGGGGCACTTCCATAAAGCTGTTAACAACAATCTGCACTATTTCATTTTGTTGATTCAAGATTTAAAAATACCTCTTTTAATATAAATATTAAGACTGCAAAAGGACAGACTTCTGAAATCTATTTTTATTTCTTCTATTTTTTTATTTCTAATCTATTTTTTTATTTCTTTGTCATACTTTTTAATGCATTTTTCAATATAATCATAAAATTAATTTTATAGTCATCCAAGTGTGAACTAGGGCCTCCGGATAGGTTTCATGAACAAAGTTTTGTTACTAGTTTTGTTACTATTACAAAGTATTTATGCTACAAATACAACCTACTTCAGGTTCCTGTAGCCTGTTATGGACATTACTCTTCCTAGAGCACCACATGGCTGCAGGGAGACCAGTGAGCTACATTTTTTCCTGTGGTTTACTTTCCCAGCCTGGTTACAGAACACCATTCCTTGCATTTTGGAGTTAGTCTCCTGGCTTTTATGACATGAACTGATGCTCTCAGTGTGAGTCCCATTCAGAATCTCAATTTCAACAGGCAGGTCAAAGACTACAGGAATAGTCATCATGATCCTTCCCACGGCAGGATGAGACCTTTTATCATGTGTTTCTCCAGAAGGGGCAGGTTGAACCATCACCATTCTGTGAAAGATTTCACCATCAAGGACAAGCTATACAGTGCTCAATTCACTTGAAAACAGAGGCAAATAAGCAGAAGAGTGTGATGGAATGTTTCCAGTCCAGTATAACATACTCTTAAAATCACACATTTCCCAAAGTGATTGTTAAAATCTGCCCCTACCAAGCTCTTCTCCCTGCCTCTGCTGTCTGTCATCCCAACCCATGCTGCCCCTGCTTGCCAGGGTGGGTGAAGCTCCCATCCCGACTCAGCAAAGCCCCTCATGTGTTCCCAGCCATGGTACACTCTCCAGTTGCAGCGCCTGCTCTTTGGTGGTAGCTCACTGGTCTCCTCTCCAGCCTCAGCAGGGAATATACAAAAATGGATTTAATGCGTGTTCACATGTTCCCACTGTCAGAGCTTTCACCACATAGTACTGTATAAATAAAATCATCTGCCTGTTCTCCTACTACATCTCTGATTACACATGCATTTCAGTGCACGTGAGAAAGCTTCTAGACTAAAATAGATCTAGTTAACATATTAAAGTGATATACACAGAATTGCAAGGTGAGAGATGAAGCAAAAATCCAGACATGCTGTAGCACAGATGAAAACAGAACATCTGCAAAGCAACTGGATACTTTGCTGCCATTTGTCTACATTACCCCATTGCTTGCTAGTAAATTGCCCAGCACTTCCCACTGTAATATCACATTGACAATAGCATATGAAGTCATAAAGTTAGCCTTTTAGGCTGCAATTTTTCAAGGCAGCCTTCTATCTCAGCAGGAACGTCCTCCAGAAAACCACAGCCAAAACAGTAGACTAAGGTACAAGAATGAGATTAGAGGGAAAAGAATGTCTCAACTACTTTTCCTTTGAAAAAATGTCACACCCGTGTTATTGAACAAGCATTATGTGGTGAGACAAGTGATCGTTTCCTGCAGTACACATCTATGAAAACCTGTCAAGCAATGAACCCAAAAGAATCCCAGCAGTTCGCACATACTCACAGAAAACGATAGCGCTCAGAAGCACAGCACGGTTGGGATTGCAGGCGCTGGGGCAGAACTCTGCTACGACAGGAATACCGGGTGCTGCTTCGAGAAATCTCAAGAATGAGCAGTCTGTGGAAGGACAAAAAATACAGTAGCTGTGAAAGGGGTCTGAAAAGGATGCCAAGCATCAGGAGAAGGGGGAAGGCAACCTCACTGTGTTTGCTCTGAGTGGCCTCCTGGCTTAAAACAGAGCTTTTCGACTGGACATTTTTCCGCCCACCTCATTTTTTTTAGCCCACCTCATTAGCCCAGCAGCCATAAGAACAATGATAAAACACCACAGAGCTGGCCATGGGGTGACCTCCGGCCGGGCAGGACGATTAGGCCGGTCCGAGCACACACTGTGCACAGGGCTGCTCACAGCTGCAGATCCGCGCTGCAGGGCAGCCCTCAACTGTCTGCACCTCCTGCCTCCATCACCTTCCCTCACAACGTGGGGGTAGGTTAGCATGACAATCCTTTATTTACTGACCAGAGAGCCTTTGGAGAGTTTAGTGAAGGCTTTGTACTAAAACTTCCTGGCTCTTCAAGTCCATTTTCAGCTAAAACTAATGGTTTACAGGAGAAAAATATTTAAAATGTGCCAAGGACCTGTTGCAGAGCTTTGCAGCACGCTAGCTCATAGATTGCAAATGATGCAGTCTTCACGTTACGACTTAGTTGTCTGCTCAAGATAAGAATGTCCAAAGCAGCTTTTATTCATTTCTATGTTGGCACATGACGTTTCTGCCCCTGTGTGTGCTGGCCCCTGCAGCGGCAGGCTGGGGCCAGGCGGCGCATCCGAGTCCCGGCTCCGGGCACGGGACCTGCCTGCCCCAGCCCGCTGCTGACAGGAGCTCGATCCCTGCGGAGGGTACGAGGGGAAGCACGGCAGGGCAGAGCAAGCCCTTGGTGATTTAAATCCAACACCCTCCTTGCACAGGGAAGGCGAGGATACAATCCCTGCAAGGCAGGGAGGCAACTGTATATCCGGCATTATTTAGAGTGGGAACAGAACGCCTACTCCATGCAGCAGCCAAACTTCATTTAAGTGCTTCCATGAGGCTTAACACCAATTAAAAAAAAAAAAAAAAAAAAAAAAAAACACAAAACCAAACAAGTAAACAAAACCAAACACCAACAACCACACCCGAAGGGTATCGAGAAGGCTTTGCTAGCTCTGCTTTGCACCCCCCCACGCCCCCGCTGCGACACAGGCAATCTTAGTGCCAGTTCTCTCCCGGAGGTTGTTTCACAGTTTCCAGGTACATCGACATACCTTAAAGATCACACATGACCCAGGTGCTTGCCTAACTTAAACCTCTCCTCCTGTACAGGGAAATCTCTCTCAAATGGCTGTGGCAACAGAACATCTTTCATATCACTTCTGGAAACACCACGCTCAAATCAAAATGACTCCAGGAAAGTCGGCAGCTTTCAAAGGTAAATGTGAGGCGATGCCTGCAAATACACCTCAGAGCTGAGTTTCTCTTTAGAGAATCCCACAAAACAGTGGGGAATAAATGTCATTGCCAGGCAACATGCAACAGAGGAATTTCTGCCAAATCCCTCCAGCACTGTTTGTGATATGGGGAGATTTAATTTAAAGAATATGCAAATCCCAGCATGAATACACTGACAGGCTCGGGCATTGTTGTGGTCGCTGTGACTGTCCCGGAGGAAAGGAATTCTGTGGCACGTGTTCTTCCGCTTCTCCTTCTAACCCCGGCCAGAAACGGTGAGTCCTATCAGGTTTTTATCCAGCTTGCAGGTAAAGGGTTACAGATTATAGGAAGTATTAAATGCAAACTTTAAAGGATTTTATTTTCATCTAGAGTCACATGATGCCTTAATACCCAATGACACTAACTACAGTGTCTCATTAAGAGGTCATGCAAACTCCCAAGCTAAACAAGGCATTCTTACATATTTAACATTCAAATGCAGAAGCCAAGCTAAGCCATGGAAGATTGTAATCAGGAAAAGCTACACTTCCTGATCCACAGAAATGCTACAGGTAGGAAAAGTTCTTTTAAACTTTTAACATTGTGCTTTCTAGAGAAACTGTTTACAGGGTATATTTTGTAATGTCTTTTCTACCTTTCAAAACAATCTAAAATATTATACTGAAAATATCTGATCTCACTTGTTCCACCTGTTGTAGAGTCTGGATTGTTTTTTACACTCAGAAATAAAGTTGGCTCAGTGAAAATCCAAAGACAACAATTTTTAAACCAAACCTATTTAAAAACTGATGTTTTAAAATATCTCTTAGTTATTGAAATGGTTAAGTTGGAGTATGTGGGGTAAAGGTGGAGTTAATATGTCTTTCATGTCTGAAAGGAAGGGATTCAGAACTCTTCTAACTTCCTTATATCATGAATTGCACATTGTTTCAGTCACACCAATCCCACTGTATTTTAACATATTTGACATCCTCAATGAACTTACATGATTTCTAAATTCCGCTTCTAGAATTTGGTACATTTAAAAATAAAATCTTACAAGCAAATGAAAGACAGATGGGGAGTACTACAGTGTTCCATAAAAGGAGAATAAAATTGCAAAATACAGAGTAAGAGGAAAGTCAGTTAAAAGCAGTTTATTTTAAATTGAGAAGTTAAATTGCATTAAAGCATATCAATTTTCACATGGCACAATAAAGTTTCACTGACAATTACTGGCAATGTTGCAGGAGTTAATATTTTTTACTTGCACTGAAGGAGTTTTCCAGTCTACAGCATTAACATTTTTATCACAAAGATCTTTTTCTCATCCCAATTTGTAATTGTTTTCAGACAGTATTCTAAATACTCCATTTTTAATACCTCTATAGGAATTTAAAGACTGCATTCTAGGGGGTTACAGAATCCAAATTTACTGAAGATCTCTAGTGCATCACAGGATTGTCACAGCCTAACAATTCCCACTGCTTAAAAGCAGCAAGTGTTGTTTATTGTTTTCTTTCTACAATGGTTGGGTGTTGATTGCTGATAATGTTATTTTTCCACAGTTCATTCTATAAAATACATCTCTTTTTCTTGTTTCCACATAATGCTAGAAAATACCAAAAGAAGTGGAGAATAATACCTGAAGCAACTTGCTTCAGATAAGCTCTCAACTTTCTCTGGGAAAAGAAAGGGGGTTGTCTTTACCAGTATTTAAAATAAATTTGAGTCAAACAAGTTTACCAGTGGCACTTCAAAAAATTGTCATTCACTTTCAGGTTGCCCATCTTGAAACATAGTAGGTCTCATGCTGAGGAGGGCTAGGACCTGAGCACAGCCTAGATCAGCCTGAGCCAGGAAGTGTCTCTTTATCAAACTCGTTGTACCAACGTCCTGACAAGAGTAGCTCCCAACTGTGCCGATGGGAATGCAGCAATAAACCACTACACTTTAAAAGAACTGCTCTGAGCTTACTATAACTGACTTATGAGCCTATATTATTTACAAAAATCTATTTAGAAACTGTGGTAGATAAGGGGCTTATTTACTAAGCTACATGTATATCTCGGGAGAGGAACACTGTAGCACCCAGATCAACAGGAAACCACAGGCTTTCACTGAGAAGAGCATTGCATCCAAAACATGAAAAGCAGCCTGCCATGGCCAGTCTCTTCTGAAAAATGCTTTTACAAGTTGCATGTATGATGGTAAACCAGCTTAGTAACTCAGTAGTTAAATTTGTTGAACATTAATTACACAAAGTGTCTTTGTAGGGTGGAAGGTACAATGCATACTGAAGTTACTCTGTCACTGAAAAGAGTGGCCATTGAATGAGAGAGAGACTTCCTTAACTCCTTTCCTAAAGAAAGGAATTCAAGTGAGGCACTTGCTATCAAGCACTCTAGTAGGTTTTTTTTATGTCCACAATTTTACTCTTGGTGCAGAAATTGGTACTGCTCTAATTATTACCTTTTATTCTTTTCTGATGAAACAAACAAACCTATTTTCTTGCTTTGTCACATCAATATAGAACCAAACGCAGTGCTGTTTCACAGGGAAGACACAAATCAAATACTTCCTGCTCACAACCAAAAAAAGAGAGAGATTTTTGGAAAATGAGATAATTGGAAACCTAAGGGAGAATTTTTCTCTAGAATTTTGGGGAAAGCCAAGTAAATATAAAAATCAAAACACTGTCAGAAGTTTAGAATAGTTTTCTGTTTACCCCAAAGCTAAGACAAGTATTGATCAAAAGGCAATCCAGATCTTCCAGTTTGCAGGTTTCAGGGAACTTGTACCATATTTAAGGTTAATACTGAAAATCAACCTGTTGATTTTTGCACAGTTCTAGGTAGGTGGGAAGACAGAGCAAATTTTCAAGTGAAGGGAATAATTACTTACTTACTTGGAAAGCCTGATTAAAAGTGGTTCACTGTGCAAGGCAAACATTTGTGAGTGTTGAGGCCCTTCTCTAACCACACTCAAGGAAACAAACTTGCTAAAAGTATTTGCTCTCAGACTTTACTGAATGAAAGCTAAGGAAAGCCTTTCTTCACATCTTTCAGGAAGGGATGGTCTTTTGCTGTGTTTGCACTGTATCCAGTTAAACATGGCCTCAGCATTGTCTACATCTTTCACTGATAGTGTTTCACAAGGGACAGGGGTGGGGGAAACAACCCACTGAAACCTGATGCAATGTAGTCAGGCAATAAATATTTGTTTGGAGTTTAAAATTTCTTCTTCAGACCCTTTCTGAGGATTATATATGATCACCTGTCAGCAGAGTATGCCCCCGCGCCTTCTACACAACAGTCATGGTGGGGAGGGCATAGCTAACCAGAGCAGGTGGCCAAATCCCCCTGCTCCTTAACCAGCAGCACCTCATTGAGCACCTGACCATGCTGGAGTCCAAATCCAGCATGATGTCAAAACTTCACCTCCCAGCAACGATGCACGAAAATTGTTGATTTTTGCTGACCTACAGAACAGAGCTGGCAAGCAGGATGTATTGCTAAGGAGAAAAGGTACAAAACACAATGTAATTTTACCTATTGAAAGTTTGATATCAAAATGGACAAAATAATTGAGTTACTGTAGAAAGGTCAAAAGGGATTGCTGGAAAGGGGTGGGGGGGAAAGCAGCAATTTTCCTGTAAGTTCTCCTCTGGGTCACTTTCACTCAGACATATGGAGGAACTTTAAAATTTTATTAAGAAGAGAATACGTTGCATGGAGACCAAACATTTAATCACTTACAGCAGGAGGAAGGGGGATAAAAGGCCCAAGTTTATTTTTTCTTCTGTGTGACTTTTTTCCTGTCTGCCATTTTTATACAAGTTTATTTAACTCCCTTTTTTTCACTTTTATCACAGATGTTTGCTGCAAAGGCACAGATGCTTTCTGGTTAGAAAAATATTTCTGGTTGAATATTCTATTACTAATTCACACAAGTTACTTTTCCATTTAGGATAGTGAGGAAGAGTAAGCCTTCTCTTCGGGGTTTACTCTTTTTAATGTTACCAGCTTGACCTGGCTCAACTTTACATCACATCTTTTTAATATGTTTAATGTTTTTATATTAAAGAACAGTTAGTTGTATGAATTTGTGCAAGTAAGGTCCAAAGCCTTGCTATTGCAGGTAATCTGCTTTTCTGAAGGAGCTGAATAATAAGCACAAGTTGTACCCCATATCAAGAATAACACACACCCAATTATTAAAAACCCTCTCAGTATCAAGTCCACCTTGGGAACTCTTCTCACACTGGTTCCAGTAGGAACAGTATCAAATCCTCACAGAGGACAGGAGAAAAGAAATAACCTGATGCAAATGGGGCCAGTGCTACCGAGCACAGCGCTGCCAGCTGAAACAGCAGCAGCACAGGTTTGCCTGCACTGGACAGAAGCTCTCCAGACCATAACAAAACACATATTTCACATCTGCCCAATCTGCCATGCTCAAGCAGGTGCATCTGGATGTTAAGGACCTTTTCCAGGCAGGTTAGCATTGATGTCCTCCTACGATACACTCTGATGCAGAGACCTGACAGCAGCTTTCAGGCAGGAGACGCAGAGAGTGACCCAGATGAGCCATGGGGAGCCACATGTCCACAGTCCTGAGGGCCCACCAGACTGCAGGTCTGTTCCTCCCCTGACTACCTACCCTCCCCACTGAATTTACTGCAATGACTGTATGTGTAGACTGGACTGTATTTCTTACACTCACTTCCCCCTTCAACCCACAGCCACTTTGAAACCCTGTTTTGTCAGCAGTAGATTTGGGAGTGCCCAGTTTTATCTGCCTTATTAAGCACCTGAGCTTTGTGCAACAGCCTAGGATGCAGAAGCACCACCTGTGCCCTGGCACAGGCACCCAACAATTTCCTCCTCTCTCTTCTGGGCTGTGTGCTCCTTCCCACAGCCAACTTGGTGCAGAAATCCCCCACCAGGACCCAGGCCCACTGTGCTTGGGCAGCTCCCAATCTGGGGACTGCAGCCATTCCAGCCTCCCTTGCCAGCTGCTCCACTTGCCCAGCCAGTGAATCCACACTGTCCCACTACTGTACAGGCAGTTTATTACCTCAAAAAAAAAAAAAAGTATTATCCACTCCTCCTCTCTTACGGCAAGAAAGCTTGATACCAATCCTATTAATATGACTTTAACACTACACATTTCCATGGAGCTATTCTTCTCATCTACTCCTGATCTACTCACAGTAAAAGGAGCCTAAGTCTCAGGCTAATGAATGCTTTTGAAGTTGGCATCCTCATTCACTTACAGCTCAGTGGAAAAC